AAAAAAAAAAAAAAAAAAAAAAAAAAGAAAGAAAGAAAAGAAAAGATGGGCCAGGGAGATGGCTCAGTGGAATAAGCGCTTCCCTGGGAAGCACAAGGGCCTGAGTTCAATCCCCAGTTCCTCCAAAAAAAAGAACTCTGGATAGGATCAGCCACACTGGGTGATCAGCACTGGGCCGATCAGCTCAGGCTCCTCAGGACCGCTGGTGCAGGCTTTGCTGTTCAAGTCTATGCGTGGGTGCGTGGGTGCTGGGGGCAATGTCTCCTGGTTGGTTGAAATTGGCTCTAGTTACCATCTGTGTTAATTAAGAGAGAACATCAGACGTGGTAACAGCATAGCTCCTAAACGATAACCGAATTGTCAAAAATTCAGATTAATGGAATGCAAATGAAGGGGCCAGGGAGATGGCTCAGTAGAATAAGTGCTTGCCTGACTTAACCCAAGGGCCCGAGTTCAATCCCTGGTTCTGCCAAAAAAAAATGGATTGCTCCTGAATTCAAAAGTCTGAGTGGCTTAACTCAAGTGAGGGCCAGGTACTTCGTTTCCTGATATGAGTCTCTGTCTAGGCTTATCAAAATATGCTCTTACTGGGCTGGTGAGATGGCTCAGTGGTCTAAAGCACCTACCGAGAACAAGCTAAGCAAAGCACAGGGACCGCGGTTCAATCCCCCAGCACCACATGCCAGCAGCCCCGCCCCCTGGTGGGCTGAGCTGGCCACACACACACACACATAAATTTTAAAAAAATTACTGACTTAAAAAAAAATGCTCTCACATTTGTGTAGGGAATTCCCTCATTACAGAGGAAGTTATGTTGCAACCTTTCGTGATGTTCGAACCATGTTCGCTTTCACTGGTACATTAAAGACCCTGCTCCGGGCGTTCCTCGTGGGTCAGCGCGTCTGCTCCACGCAGAGTTCCTGCAACCTGGGCACTTTCCTCTGCAGTCCTCCTTTTTCCACCAGCATGGCTGCGACACCAACGACACCAACGCCAAGTACAACAGTCGCGCCGCCCAGCTCTACAGGGAGAGGGTGAAGTCGCTGGCGTCCCAAGCCACACGGAAGCATGGCACTGACGTGAGTCCCCGGGCTGTGTGGCTGCAGGTGCATGTCCTTTAGCAGAAGCCATGCTTTTATCCCAAACTGTGGGAAAGGAAAACTGCGCGACTGACCCTCCGTGTGCGTGGGGCTGTCGCCTCTTCCTGACCACAGAATGAAGGCACCCGGAATCACCACTCCTCAGATCATCAGGGCAGGGTCAGTCAGCCTGAGGTCACGTTTTTCTCAAGTGACTAGTACACAGGCTTAGTTCACAGTGTTTCTGTATAAAGATACCTTATTCATTTATTTATTTTTGTCTTTCTGAGGTGGTCTCACCATGCAGCTCAGGCTAGCCTTTAGCTTACTTTGTAGCCCAGGCTGTTCTCAAACTTGCAACGATCCTGTTGCCTCCGCCTCCTGAGATCTGGGATTATAGGCATGCACCACCACCTTGGCAAGGTACCTTATTTAAAGCCGGGGAAATAGCTCAGTGGCACAGAAGCCTGGGTGGGAAGTGCAAGGTCCTGAGTTTGATCCCAGCACTGGAAAGCAATGAATGAAAGGACCTTCCATAATGTAATAGCAGTGACTTGGGAATACTGAGCTCCTGCCTCAGCGCAGCCCTGTAACACCCATGTGCTGAGGGGAAGAGTGCCAGACAGCCATCAGCACTGCGTGGGGCATTTTACACAGTGACATTATGTGCTGTAGGGGCCGGGGAGATAACTCAGTAGAATAAGCGCTTGCCTGGCAAGTGCAAGGGCCTAAGTTCAATCCCCAGTTCTGCCAAAAAAAAAAAAAAAAAAAAAAAAAAGAAAAAAATAAAAAAAAAAAAAAAAGAAAGAAAGAAATTATCCGCTAAGGGCCAGGGAGATAGCTTAGCCACACAAGCGCATGCCTGGCAAGTGCACCATCATGAGTTTGGTTCCTGGTACCAAAAAGAAAAAAGAAATCATTTGCTGAAAGCATGGAGGTGGGAATTGTGGCACTAACAGGCTGAAAGAATGCTTGTTAACGTGTGAGAACTTTCGCCAGGAAGCCGAGCGTGCCACGCCTTGCCTGCCTGAGCGTGGTGTGCCGCTCGCCTCCATGCATGCCTGAGAACCTGAGTGAAAACACGGGGGCTGGCTGGGGCCGCAGGGAAACGCAGCACGTGGGCCCGTGCGGAGGCGTGGAGTCCGTGAACGGCGAGGGTGTGGGTTGGAACTTGTGCTTATACGTGAAGCTATGGCATTTTCCTTTTCAGAAAGTTTCAGGAGAAGGGAAAGATGGCAAAAGACAGGGGTGAAAAGTGAGTTGAAATGCATGCTGTGCCGGGACCGGCTACCCGGGATGAAGGCCATCGTTTTGCCCTGCAAACATGCACCCATGGACGCTTAGCCAGGCATGGCGGCATACGCCTGTGACCTCAGCACTGGGGAGACTGAGGCAGGAGGATCACTTTAGGAGTTCAAGGCCAGACCGGGTGCATAGTGAGACCCTGTCTCAACACAACAACAAAAGATTTTTTTTTTTTTTAATAGAAGGGATTTCTGGAGTTGGGTGCTTGGCTCCCTCAGGGTTTGCTAGCAAATGATGCTGGAGCAGTGGGTTCCTGCAGTGCCGCAGAGCACTAATGCCGCAGGTCCCAGAGTCGCAGTCACCAGGAAGCGGCCCCACGCAGGCCTGTGGCGTGCTGAGGGTGGCTTGGCTTTCCTTCCAGCTGTGGCTCGACGGCTGCGTGCTTCCGCCTTCATCCCCGCCTCCAAAGGAGGAGGACTTTTTTGCCTCTCACGTCTCTCCTGAGGTATGTATTGTGCTTTACTTCATTTTAAAATGTACTTCTTCACAGGGCCAGGGAGATGGCTCAGTGGAATAAGCGCTTCCCTGGCAAGCGCAAGGGCCTGTGTTCAATCCCTGGTTCCGCAAAAAAAAAAAAAAAAAGACAAAAAAATGTACTTCTTCTGAATGTCATATAAGATGTTTATTTTGAGTTTCAGCTGGGAAGCAGGCTAAGTTGCAGGAATAAGCAACTTTCACAAGATAGGAATTAACGTACCACCATCTGTCCAGAGGCTGTCTGGCATCTTAGTTACTTCTCATTGCTGGGACAGAATACCCAGCGCTCTCAGGTTAAATGAGGAGAGGTTTGTTTTGGCACACAGTTTGTAGAGGCTTCCGGCCATCATTGGCTGGCTCCATAGCAGGGCAGCATGGTAGAAAGAAAGCAGTCCATGGCGTGGCAGGCAGGGAGCAGAGAGGGTTCCAGGGAGGAGGAGGGCGATGGACACTCAGAGCACACGCCCAGCGACCCCCTGCTCCCTCCAGCCTTCACCTCCCACCATCACATCCAGCTGCTGACTCATCAGTGCACTGATCCAGGGGCGTGTCACCTGCGACCCAGGCACCTCCCCAAAGCCTGACCTGTGAGTTCCCTGTGGCCACTGCCAGGAATAACACCCCTGCTTCCCATAGTGAGGATAGTGGGAGTGGTATATGCTGTTTCTAGACCACTTCTGTAAGGGGAAGGCAAGATTTGCGTCTTTAGGGGGCCTTCCAGATGTAAACCATAGTGCCCACTGAGTTTACTCTGCTGTCCCCCACGTGTGACTTCCATGGAAGGGTCTAATGTGGCCACTCCAGTGTAAGACCTTTCCCAGTTCACTGAAGAGCACGAATGCCCAGGAAAGCAAGCCTGGCCTCCCCTTTACAGAAGCAGTCTAGAGCGCCCGGACTGCTCCGGCTTGTGACCTCCGAGCTGGAGCGTGGTCACCTGTCTGTTCCTTACTCCCGGGAAGCGGGGATATTATTCCCGGCAGTGGCCACAGGGAATGCAGGGCTCCGCATCAGTCTTGACTCAGCCCTGACTGCTGTGCACACTGCACGTAGCTCCAGACAGAAGTCGGCGAATTCCCGCAGACTTAAGGCCCAGCACAGAGTGAGCATTTTCCTCACTGCAGTGGGCTGACAGCAGTCCTGGTGCCTCTGTGGGTTTCCTCACTTTGCCTAGCTGAGGGAAGGGAACCGGTAAGGGCGGGTCCTCAGTGACCCCAGGACAGGCCACCAGCTCCCGCCGTGCCTCGAGTTGGGGCCAGACCTCTGCCTGACCGTAAGCTCATAGCACTGGCAGCCTAGAGGTTCTGTTCTGTGGAGTGTTTTGCTTTTATAATTTGCATGAACATTTCTCCACCGATCATTGAAGAGTCCAGAAATAGTTACAAAAGGGGAAGAGCAGAAAACAGGCTTGGGGGTCTTTCATCGTACAAAGCTGCTCTTGTGAGCCCAGAACCAGATGGAGATACCCCTGTAGCAGCTGAGAACACTCACAAACGCACCTGAGGGCTGAGAGGAGGAGAATGCACGTTGGAGAGGCAGCAGCAGGAAGTCATGCTTTTCGTTTCATGTGTCTGTGTGTACGTGTGTGGGGGGAGCACATACACATCCCCTGGCTCTGTCCCTGCAGAGGACTGAGGGGCAGGCATCACCTCTGTAAGTACCGCGAGCACAGCAGTGTCCCGATCTTGGTTTCTACCCAGTGCTCTGCATTCACTGGAGAAGCTGCGGCTGAGGCCGCCAGGCTGGGTGGGCCTGGGGCAGCTCGGGCTCTCGGTGGAAGGGAGTGATGGAGTGAAGCGGTGGGGCCTTGTCCAGAACACTCAGCCAACCTCGAGAAGCCCTTCGCTGTGTCCTTCCTTAAGGGATGACCTACAAAGCAGGGCGCAGTTCCCAAACAGTGTCACAGACCCGAGGAACCGAGGGAGCCATAGTGCAGTGTGTGGGGTACATGAGGAGAGAGGCTGGTGCAAAGAGGTGGAACCCCTCAGGCTGGCACCCAGCCCACTGTGCTGTCCCACAGCCATTCTGCATGACGGTGGTGGCCATGTCTAGCAGCAGAGGAAGCCAAGTGGGCATGGGAAGCGCCCGGCAGTGTGTTGACAGCTCGGTGCAAGTCCAAAAAGTATTATAAGCTACAAATTATATTCTACCAAAAGAAGGGAAGGTCAGGCATTTGAGCACTGAAACGGAAATTTAAGAATACGTGCATTTGAGTCTTATTTCCACGGAGCAGCAGCTGCTCACGTGATTATGTGTCACTGGTTTGTTTCTCTTGACTGATGCTCTGCGTGCCAATGACTTTCCTCCCCTCCGTAGGTAAGCAGCACAGCGCAGGCGTCTGCACAACCAGAGCCCTCGCCTTTAACACCTTGGGTCATGGGAACTGCTCCTGGCGATGACAAAGGTAGGGACCTGAGAACTGTCAGAGGCCGCACTCCGAGAGCCAGGCATGCTGGGCAACTAGGAAAATTAAGGTGTTAGCAGGAGCTGGGTGTGGCGGGCACTCCTGTAATGCCAGCACTTGGGAGGCTGAAGGAGGGGAGGGTCCCTGCAAGTAGAGCACTAGCCTGGCCTATGTGGTGAGCGCATGACCATCCTGAACTATATAGTGAAACTCTGTCTCAAAAAACAAGCAAAGCTAAACAGGGCCAGGGGAGCTGAGTGTGGTGGCACGTGCCTATAATCCCAGCACTTGGGAGGCTGAGGCAGGAGATCATTGTGAGTTCGAGACCAACCTAAGCTATCCATAAAGTGAGCTCAAGGCCAGGCCGAAGTGCATAGTGAGACCCTGTCTCAAAAGATAAAAAGAAAAAGAAAAAAAAAAAAAAACAAGGCCAGGGATCTAGCTCAGTGGCATAAGTGCCTGCCTGGCAAACACTGAGTTAAATTCCTGGTACCAGAACAAAACCAAAAAATTAAAATAAGATGTTCTTTAAATGAAGTTTTAACAGTTCCCAACTAGGATCATTTTTTAAAATTAGAAAAATAGAAAAACAGCCAATTTCTTGGCAACTGAAACTTGGATTTCCATTAAATTACCTGGGGTTAGAATTTCCACATGTTGACATCCAGTGGGAGGGGTGTGTGTGTGTGTGTGTGTGTGTGGGTGTGTGTGTACATGTACATAAGCACTAGGTAGCTCAGGATGGGTCACTTTGGAACACCAGCATAGCCAGGTGTTGTGGCACACACCAGAATCTCATCAGGCAGGAGGTTGTGATGAGTTCAAGCCAGACCACAATGCATAGCAAGACCCTGCCTCAATAAATAAATAAGTGAACAAATAATATATTTTTTAAAACACCAGATTATCAGGTAGCATTCTGAATAACAATTGAACAGAGAACTAACGTTTTTATTTTACAAAACTATTAAATGGAAAATGTACTTTCATTTTAGGAGACTTTTAAATCAAATTCCTTAGGGTGGAGCTGTATGGGTGCTGTGCAGGAGAGTAGAAGGAATGTGGTTGGTGGCAATTAGCCCTGTGCTTCAGGATGGCTAGCAGCGAAGATTTTAAGTGTTCCTGTACAGAGAGATGACGGTCATGCCAGCTACACATGGTATACGTGTATCAGGTGTCACACTGTGGCCTGAAGTGTGTCCAGTCATCATGTATCAACTGAAAGCAAAGCCCCTTTCAAAAGATAATAATGAGCCTGGCCTGGTGGCGCACAGCTGTATCCCAGCTCCCTGGAGGCTGAGGCAGGAGGAGGACGAGTTCAGGCCCAACCAGGGCAACTTAACAAATGGGTGAGACAAAGGGGCTGAAGATGTACCTCCGTGAAAAGGCTCTGGATTCAAAAACCTGTGCCGGGAAAAAAACTAAAAAGAAAGACAGTCGTTAAAACTTGGCTAAGAGATGCAGGCCTGCCTGGCCTTGCTGCATCATTACGCAGTCAGGCAAGCTTGAGGAATGCATCTCCTGCACTAATGTGGGTGTTTTAAATTTCAGATGATCCCAAACAAGCACCAAGTGTGGAAGGACTGAGTGCCCCAGCGAAGCCTGCTTCAGGTGCACTGTGAACCCCACCTCTGAATGGGGGCGGTACTGCAGAAGGGATGCATCCTCAGGTCCTCAGGGTCTCAGCCTAGAAAGTAGCCTAGAGAGTGGCACAGCACACTGACCACTGACGTGACCAAGACCCTGCTCAGCCTGAAAGCTGCTGTGCCTCCCAGCGAGGCCACCGAGTCCACAATGCTGAGGTTGCGTGGGCGCCAACATGGTCCGAGACCTGGGGTGCCCACAGTGCCTTTCCCTGCTCCTCGATGAGGGGAGCTTCCTTTTTCTTCTGCTCTCCTTATTGTATGGGGGTGGGGATGGGAGTGGGGGTGTCTTAAACACACTTCTTCACTACCTGGGAACCCTCATTTGAAGTTGCTAAAAAGGGCCAGCCAGATAGCTCTGCAGACTAAAGCGCCTGCTTAGGCAGAGCACAGCGGCTGGGGTTCAATCCCCAGCATGCTGTGCCAGCCCTGCCCCCTGAGACTGGGTGTGGTGGTGAGTGCCTGCAATCCCAGTGCTTGGGAGGCTGAAAACAGGAGAACCAGCAGGAGTCCGATCTAGGTAGTGAGACTCTGTAGACCCTGTCCTAAATACAGAAATAAGGAGAGAGAAAAAGATTGGTGTGTAGGACATTGTGTTGATTGGGAAGAAACCACTTTGGAGAAAAACCACCACCCTCTCTAGAGATCTTTGGTCACTGTCCTTCTGGGTCAGACACACATTAGATCAGGGTAGTCTTGTGCCAGCCGCAGTCCAAATCTGAAAGGAAGTGTGGGCTGCACGCTGGAAACTCTGCTCTTCCCTGGTCAGGGCCCAGAGCGTATACTGGCGTCTCTTTCCCTTCGTAGCACGCTCTTTCCTTATATTGTAGTGCTGGGGGCCACGCCAGGCCTCACATGCGTGGCAGCGCTGAGCCAGAGCTGCTCTCCCAGCGATCTTTGGAAGAAAAACAATAAGATTTTATTTTTGCTGGGTCTTTTATATTCCTGAAATAGATTCAATAACCTGGGGGTGTGGTTCCCCTTAGAGCACTTGCCTAGCATGCACAAGGCCCTGGGGTTCAGTCCTCAGCCTGTCACTCATACATACACAATAATAATGGATAATAATGTAAAACAATTTTAAGTGTACATCTTGATAGGAGCGCTTGTCCTATGTGTATGTGAAGCCCCTTCTGAGGGCAGCCCAGGGCCGGGGCCGGCGCCTTGATTCTGTTCGCTGTGGTGTGCAGAGCACATTCTCGCTGAGCCCGGAAGCTGCATGGACCTGTGAGGCCCACATGGACAGAATGCACGGTGGAGCCTGCGGCACTGCCACCCAAGGTGGAAGATGGGACAGTCCTTGGCAGTGTGACCTAACAGAATTTATTTATTTGCAGAACCAGGGATTTAACTCAGGCCCTTGCACTTGCCAGGGAAGTGCTTATTCTACTGAGCCATTTCCCCAGCCCCAAAATATGTTTTTTGTTTTGCACTACCGGGGATTGAACTCAGGACCCTGCACTTGCCTGGCAAATGCTTATTCTACTGAGCTATCTCTCTGGCTCTTTGTAACAGACTTTAGAAAGGCACACTAACATGGAAAAAGTATGTGTGATTTCTGTTGGTCTGACTTTTCCATTTTTATTTTTTGGCAGAGGTTTCCTCTATCATAAAAAAGAAACCAAATCAAGCTAAACGAGGAGTAAGTATTATATGTAAACTACCTAGTATTTTGGCTTCAAAGCTAGAGAGCCATTCTGACCTGTTAGTATGTTTACTTTTTTATTTTGAGCCACAGTAGGATAAATGGGGTCTTGATGTTTTGTTCAATGAGATGAAATTTATTCTTCGTATTTCCCAGAATGAATGCTTAAGATGGTTCTGTCTGTGCTGACTGCTCAGCGTCAGCCAGGCCTCCCAGGCCCAGCCTGCGGTCGCCTTCTCTGAGGAGAGAGAGGGTTGAAAGCTGGTCTGGCCTCTTTCAGTGTGGTCTTGGCTACCGCGCCTGCCTTGAGTGGGCTTTAGTTTCTTCGTGTGCGACGGGGAGGGTGGCGCCAGCCTCTCAGACACTCAGGGCTGAGTTAAGAGAGCCCCCGAGGTGCGCCAGCGCCGGGCAGTCGCTGCCTCCGCGCTGGTCATGGCGGTTAACCGCGCACAATCTTGCTGTGTTCCAGCTGGGGGCCAAGAAAGGAAGCCTGGGAGCCCAGAAACTGGCGAGCACAAGCTTTAGTGAGATCGAAAAGCAGGCCCAGGCGGTGGACAGGAGGAAGGAGCAGGAGGACCTGCTGGCCAGGGCTGCGCCTAAGGAAGAGCCCACGTGAGTCGAGTTCCGTGCTGACGATCACACTGGGGACAGAACTGCTGCTTAGCCAGCTGGGGTGGCTCTGTGTTCTCAGCGCGGGTGTGTGTGGTGATGCACACTTCAGTGCAGGCTGACATAGGAAGGACAGAGCTCCGGGGAAGGAGCAGGTGGGACCACAGCCCCACCCTGGAGGTACCGCCCGCCCGCTTCCAGCTTCCAGGCAGCGCTGGCTCGATGTGAGTCCCGGGGCCTGCACCACACTCCTGAGGGTGCCCGGCGGAGAAGCACGCCTGGACCGGCTGTGTTAATCCCAGAGACAGCCTGAACATCTGTCCGTGGGCGAGCTGTCCAGCAAGATATTCACTCGTGGAGTGTAACACGGGTGTATGCCGAGCAAGAAGCCAGGCACAGCATCGCGTGACACGCCCAGCGCAGCCCAGCACACCGGCCAAGGGGACGCGGGCACATGATGGTGGCCACACAGCCAGCACAGCCCAGCACGCCGGCTAAGGGGCCGCGGGCACATGACGCAGTGGCGGGAGCTGGGTTTTAGCTTGTGTGGGCGTTCCTGTGGTTTCCCCCTGCTTCTCTGGGCATCTGGACCCGAGCTTGAATTGCGGGCCCACGTATAGAAGGGAGGCGGAGCTGCCCAGCTGCTGTAGGACATACTCTGCCAGCGCCTGCACAGCCAACGTGAGGCCAAGCCCAGGTCCCTGCGGCTCCCTGCTCAGACCCTGTGGTTCCTGTTCCACTCCCAGCACATAGGGGGCAGCATTGCCCGTGCTGCAGGGCCCCCGTCTGGGTGGCCTTGGCACAGACTTAACTCTGCCAGACTGGGAAGGAGCAGGCAGGCTCTGCGGTGTGCGAGCCCCAGGCGCTCTCTAGGGGCCAACCCAGGGGAACCCCAGGTGGCGCTTTTATTTGCCTTGCTGCCCACTCTCGTCACGGCCACTCAGCCCCACTCAGCCCCGGGCCCCATAGTTGTCACGAACGCGCCTGTGCCGCCCAGGAGGAAGCACGCGTGCGTGCGTGCGTGCGGGGAGAGAATTATTCTGCAGGGTCCAGCGGGGTTGGGCTGGCTCCGGAGCTCGCGGAGCAGCCCTGTTCCTGGTGTGGGGCCGGCAGCCTGGTGTCGCTACAGGTCGCTGAGCGGGCAAACTCGACGCGGAGGGAAGGGGAGGCGGGCTGCCCGCGGGCCCGCTGCTGTGATAGGACCCTCGGCCGCCCGCACGCTCGCCCGCCCGGGAGCCCAGCGCAGCTGTGGCTGACTTGGTGCCTCTGCCGTGCCTTCTGCGGCCTCTGGTGAATACTGAGGTGCCGGCACCGATGCGGCAGGGGCCGCTGCAGAGCCTTCTTCCCGGGAAGGAAGCGCCGCCCACGTCGTCCGGCAGGACCTTTCCACCCGTCCATTCATCTTCTCAGCAGTCTGTTGCTTCAGTCCTGTCTCCTCGCGGTTTTCAACAGATCTGTTGTAAAAGCCCTGCTTGAAAGAATCGTATTTATTGCTCAACACTGTTCTGCTGTGATAGTATTAGCAAGACCAAAACCAGATTAAAGCAGATCGAAGAAACTCAGGCTCACCGGCGGAGGGACACAGAAAAGGCAAAAGTACTTTTGTACCAGTAAGGAGTGCTGCTGTCGTTTCCTGTTCGTACATAGAAATTTGTATTATAGTGCAATTGTTACAGTGCCACTTTTAGGAGGAATTCATGACATTTCACACAACTTTTAAAATCTTATTTATTTACTTGGTACAGTGCCTCACTATGCAGCTCAGCCTCCCCAGCACTGGGATTACAGGTGTGCAGCACCACACCCGGTTTCAGCGGCTAGCACGGTGCCCCCCAGGTTCCGGGGCCAGCATGACATGCGGTACCAAGGATCAAACCCAGGTCCTTGTTCTTGCCAGGCAGGTGCTTAGACTACTGAGCAATCTCTGTAGCCCCTCACACAATTTTGTTAATGGATAATAATTTAGAAATCCTTAGGCGATACATCATATATCACTTTTTAGACCCCCCCCCGAGGTTTTTTCACTGTTATATATATATTTTTTTCTTTGTGAAACATTAGGTGTTTGTTACAGTTTTAAAAATTCTCAGCATAGGAATAAGAATTTTTTAAATTTAGTACAGAGTCTACGGGGGTCTCACTACACAGATCAGATTCATAATGATCCTCCTGTTTTCAGCCTCCCGAGTGCTGAGATTACAGGCATGCACCACCATACCCAGTCTCAATCACCAGCTCAGTGTGCCCCAGGGGCAGGTCGGCACAGCACACCGGGGATCAAACCCAGGCCCCTGCATC